TTTTTTTTTTGGGATTGTTATTGGTGAATCTGTAGCCATATTTTGATTATTGTTTCCTTATTAATGTCATTTGGAGCCAAATTGCAAAATTTGGATTTGATTGAAGGCCTGAGATCTGATCACCAAGAAATATCAAATTGTTTCTTTTTACTGTTAATGGGATCAAAAAGATTCAATCTTTATACTGCGTTTCATAGAAGAGAGGTGGTAATAAGGACCTGAAGATTAATAGGACTAGTTGTTTTTGATGGGGAATACATGTGTAGGACCAAATCTAGGCAATAAGGGATTCTTAAATAGTGTTACTGCTGCGATATGGCGTTCCCGGCCACCAGAGGACAGGTTGCCTCCTCCTAAAGGAGGAGATGGTAGCAATAATAATGGTGACTCAAATGCGGGTCTGATTGGTGGATCAAAAAAATCTGAGGGTTCTAGAAAAGGATCAACTGATGATCATCCATCAATGCCGGTCCAGAACACCCCACCTGAACCAGTTAAAATGCTCAATGAGGCGCCGCCACCACCTAAAGTCATTGAGCACGAAAGATCCATTAAGCCGGAAATGAGAGATGTGGGGATTGGTAAGCCTGGGGAGGAGCAGAAGGAGAAGAAACCTACTCATGTTAAGAGGGTTTCGAGTATAGCGCTTCAAATGGAATCCGTGTTGGGGAGGAAAACTGGGAATTTAAAAGATATTTATAGTTTAGGGAGGAAGCTTGGACAAGGGCAATTTGGGACGACGTTTCTTTGTGTTGAGAAGGCTACTGGAAAAGAGTTTGCTTGCAAAACCATTGCAAAGAGGAAGTTGACGACACCGGAGGATGTGGAGGATGTCAGGAGGGAGATTCAGATAATGCATCATTTGGAGGGTCATCCTAATGTGATAAGAATTGTGGATGCTTATGAGGATGCTGTTGCAGTCCATGTTGTTATGGAACTTTGTTCAGGCGGGGAGCTTTTCGACAGAATTGTTCAGAGGGGACATTATACAGAAAAAAAGGCGGCTGAGCTTGCGAGATTAATTGTTGGTGTTGTCGAAGCATGCCATTCTTTGGGAGTAATGCACCGGGATTTGAAGCCTGAGAATTTTCTGTTTGTCAGTCAGGAAGAGGATTCGCCACTTAAAACAATAGACTTTGGCCTCTCAGTGTTTTTCAGGCCAGGTACACCTCTGAGCTTCACTTTTTTTGTTGCAATGGTTAGATCTAGGACCCCTTTACTTGAGGCATTCTAGAGCTAGAGCCATACGAGCCTTCTTGTTTGCTCTATTACTTTAGAGTTCTTGAAAATAGTTTCCCCTATTATGCTTTTGCTCAGTTCTATTATCAGATGCTTGTTGAATGAATTATGTGTTGTTATGACTTCCTGCTTTACAGGAACTAATAATGCACTTTTAGATGTATATGTCTTGCTTGTAGATTGATTTTGGAAATGGAGCATGAGTTACAATGCTGAGAGAGGTCATGCAAATTCCACTAATAATTAATATGACCTCCTTCTGACAAGTATAGCACCAACAATTTACTGACTAAATGGATAAGAATAGTAGCTCAATTATAATTATCTTTTCTTAATTATGAAGATTTTCATATGCTAGTTGCTTTTACTATGAGAATAGAACAACGTGCCCCCTTTCTGTGCCCCCCTAGGGGTTGGGGGGAGTGGTTGGCTGTAGGAGATGCTTGCATGTTTCGAAAAACGATGCTTATCAACTGTGGAAATAATTATCAAAGAAGAGTTATGGTCACAGATATCATTAATGGCTAGGCAAAAGGTACGATTGGTTTCGTAAAGTCTTCTTCCAAATTTAAGGAAGTTAAAGTTTGTTGTTAGACCTGAATTTATCCCCAAATAATTGCTTTGAATTATTTTTTCTCGCTATCGAGACAAGGATAGATGTTTTGCTTTAATAATTTGAGGCAGTCATGAGCAAAACCCTATCTCTTCATTTTTTGATATCATGATCAACAATGTGGTATGGGCTATGGAGACCTGGTAATGCTTTTCTCAGGCCTGATATTCCTCCTTTGGAACTATAAATCCTTAATCAAGTCCTTTGCAACGATCTCTATCTGACTGCCTGTCATATGCAGAGGAGAACAGTGTAGGTTCATTTTTGCTTGAGGTTAGACCAGGTGATTGATTCTTCCCTGAGAAAATTATCTGAAGGCCGTAACCCTTCTGAGAGTTTGTTTTAGTCCATCATTTTCACTAGCTAGCGTCCTGCTACTGAGACATTCTTACTTATCAAAAGCAGAGAATGTGTTGCTATGTTCAAAGCATCCCTTTTCCCTTTGATTTTGTTTGGGAAAGGGGACATCACACAAAACCGACAACACCCAAGAACCACTTAACAATTCATGATCGCAGAAAAAGCATATCCATGTGAAATTAGTGCACGAGTAAGTTGAGTGAAAGAGATTCTTAGATCTACATAGAGCTTATAACAGATAACAAACAGTGCTCTGATCAAGCCTGACTGGAGACTATGAAAGAAATTACATCATTCAAATATTATTTAGAGTGTGAGCAGTAAACGCAAGCAAGCTGTGTGATACACACACAGGGCCATCAAAGGTTCAGGATCCTGCTTTTGATTTTGACTCTGAACAACAAAATATGTGTATATTTACTTGTATTTTGATAGCCTGCAGTGTAAGTTTCGATGGCAACATCTGAAAGTCTGGAAATGGTTTTCCATTCTAAAGTTGTATGTCTGGAGCTGATAACTGTGGGGTATATAAGTGATAGAGGCCAAATGTTGAATTTCTTAAGTTCCAAATACGTAACTGGCTTCTCATTAGAAGCTATTGTAACCTATTGCTTAAGATCTATTGGTTGCAATGCACACTATGGTTGCAAAATATACTGTTTCCTTGTAATATCGAAAGACACACATTAGACTGTGATTTTCTTCGTTGACTATGCCAGACATTTGCATAATTTAGTACATGAACATTTCAACACCCACGCCAATAGATTACTTTAGCATACCTCCTATGTCTGTCGCTTTTGAATGGATATATTTGCCTGCAGTCTGCACATAGTCTCTTCATTGCTCATGCTTATTCAAAATTTAGTCAGCATTAAATTGTTTCCTCCTCACTAAGCTTTCCCATTTCTGAGAATTGACTAATCATTTCATCATCTCAGGTGAAACTTTCACTGACGTAGTTGGCAGCCCCTACTATGTAGCTCCAGACGTGTTGCGGAAGTTATACGGTCCAAAATGTGATGTTTGGAGTGCTGGAGTGATCATCTATATTTTGTTAAGTGGGGTACCGCCATTTTGGGATGGTGAGATTCATGATCTAGAAATTTGTTTATATTTAAGTTTTATCTAATGATTCTAGACATTCTTTGACTGAATCTAATTTATGTTCTGTCATGTTTGGGTTCAGAATCAGAGCAAGGAATATTTGAGCAGGTTTTGAAAGGGGAACTAGACTTTGAATCAGAACCTTGGCCTAATATATCTGAAAGTGCAAAAGATCTTGTTCGAAAAATGCTAGTAAGGGACCCTAAAAAACGGCTGACAGCCCATGAAGTTCTCTGTGAGTATGCTTACCACTGTGAACTAATCTTTTATTATATCTTTGGCAGATAAACCAGTGCATTGCTTATTATTTGGTTCATCATGTTTCTTTTTTAAGTTGTGTATGTTTAATGATAATCCTAAATTTCTTTCATCATGATTCATTATAGCTTCTAGAAAGTTGAGCACATAACAGAACTGAATGGAGGAAAAAACTCATACACAAAGTTGAGTTTTTGAGTTGAGTTTTTGCTTAAATGGAGGAATGTTACAAAATCATAAATTAAGTTCTTGTTTGATGCGAGGATAAACCACGGTACTAAGCTAGATAGATAATGGTTTAGGAGTTAGACTAAAAGTAAAGAACTTGTCTCGATATTACTGGTTTCTTCTGTCGCCAAGGAATAGCAATCGTTGCACGATGCATTTGTTCTTGTGCAGGCCACCCTTGGGTGAAGATGGAAGGTGTAGCACTTGATAGACCTCTTGATCCAGCTGTCCTAAGTCGGTTGAAGAAATTCTCAGCCATGAATAAGCTCAAGAAAATTGCCATTCGAGTGAGTTTTTCTAATCCCTGAAATCTTGAAAATTTGTGCACGCATGGTAACTGTGGAAAACTTAGGTCATACTTCGATGCTGTTTCATAATAATTGAAACAACGAATGCAATGAAGCGGATCTGTTCCTTTGTTTAGTTGCCGGGCTTATTTTGAGTGGAGTTGCAATACTAAAACACAAATACTAGAAACATCATTTTGTATTTGATTTGATAATTAAAAGGTAATATAGCAGTTCAATATCACCTGCTGCTTTGTTTCTTGCGTCTGTTAATGAAGAGATGTTGCTTGTCTTTTCAGACAAGAAGTACATATATCATAACCTGAAAATTGCGGTTTTAAACCTTATGACTATTCCATGCTTTATGCTCATTTTTCTTCTGATGCAATCATCTTTGTGATATTTATCACTATCTTTTCATTAAAAATTTTAATCTAATGTGCTTTGCATTTATAAATACAAATATGACATTACAAGTTGAAAATGTAACCAAATATCATCATAAAGTCATCATACAATTAAGCTCACATTACAATTATAAATCTCTAATCACAGGTATTCAAGCATTTCTTATTAATTAGCTGAAGCATTTGCATCAGTGCATTTTTCATTTGAGTACATAGTTTCAAATAGTAAGGAAAACTATTTTTCAAAGATGTAGTCAAAATGTTAAATGTGTGACTACATGTTGTACAGAATCCCTTTCTCCCAGTATTTACTCTTAAAAGAGACTTCTTGGTTGAATTGCTTCAAGTTTTCATTTAATTTTTTAAGACAACAACGCAGACTTGGAGCTTTAATTGGTATGGCTTGTTCTTTTATTTACTAGGTAACTTCCTTTTCATCTCAGGTCATTGCTGAAAGCCTCTCTGAAGAGGAAATTGCAGGTCTGAAAGAAATGTTCAAGATGATAGACACAGACAGTAGTGGACATATAACTCTTGAGGAACTGAAGACTGGTTTGGAAAAAGTGGGTGCTAATATCAAGGATTCTGAACTTGCTGGCCTAATGCAAGCTGTAAGCTCGTTTGAAATTCAGATTCTAGTTTTATAGTTATGTAGCATAGGATCATGATGGTAGTTTTCTTTCTTTTTAGAGAACTCCTTATCTTGAAATTTTCTGCTGCTAACCATTAAGAGATTTCAGACAATAGAATGAGATTTATTTCCAGGTCATCTATGGTTAAACATGATGAAATTTAGTCCGAGTCTCTCTGAGCCAAGCTGAATCTTAGAAAATTAGTGTGACCAAGATTGAAGTCTTGTGCATCTATTTTTCTCGTGGATTACCTATTAAACAACTCTTAGACAAGCTGTTGTTCGATTTAGCTTTAAAGGTAAAAAAACATGGAGAAAGAAGCAGGAAAAACCCCAGATATTGTAGCATGGAGCAGGACTTCTGTAGGTTATGCTTAAAGAGCCCAGGTCCCTGGGAGTCTTGGGACGAGATACAAACACACGTCGGCACTCATGCACAGATCATAAGAAACTTGCTATCATATCTAAATGTAAATGTAGCGCATGTCTGTATGTAGAAATTGATATGTTTTTGGTTATATTATAGTCTCTGAGATTTTATCATGGACGTTGAATTAACTTATAAAACACCACTCAAGCATCTGGGATCTCCCAGGTGATTGTCTTGAATGTTACCGCATCTATGTTTCCTCTGATCCATTCAGCTTGATTCTGATTTAGCTTCCTGCCTGTAAAAAATTTTCAGGCTGATGTTGACAACAGTGGTACCATAGACTATGGCGAGTTCATAGCAGCTATGCTCCATCTGAACAAGATTGTGAAGGAGGATCATCTCTATTCAGCCTTCTCATACTTTGACAAAGGTGGGAGTGGATACATTACTCAAGATGAGCTCCAACAGGCCTGTGAGCAGTTTGGTTTAGGAGATGTTCAGTTAGAAGAAATTATACGCGAGGTTGACCAGGATAATGTAAGTATCTTCCTCCCAGTAATCATTTTCATTCGCCTTCAGGTAGAAATTAGTTTATCTCGTCAGCATTATTTAATTTTTCACTTTCATGTTCTTCTCAGGATGGGCGCATCGATTATAGTGAATTTGTGGCAATGATGCAAGACACTGGTTTTAGCCAGACAAGATCACAAATAACTTAGATGTAAGATTCCGACAAGCCTTTAAGCCGTAGGAGTTAATTTGTATTTTCTAGGTGTCATAAGTTAACAGAATGTGCAGTGCATACTGTTGTAAAGAGGAAACAGGCTTCAGGAAGGTTACAAGAGTTGAGTATCCTTCCAGGTTGTATTTACCACCTTTTAGGTTTCTGTTAAATGTATTCAGTTGGATTAGATTGCAATTCCCAAGTTTGAAAACTTTGTTCATGATTTACCTTCGTTTTCTTCTGTTGAATCTTTTTTTTTTTTTTCAACTAAAGGATGCTTGATGATGTCAACTGTTAGACCAGTCCGTATGAGTGGCGAGTTAAATTTAATCTCTTCGAGTTTGATCGTGGATCAAGCCTAATTGGATATGAGTATAGGGAATTACCAGATCCTTCGTTGCTAGGCTTAGCTGCATGCCAAGGCTAGCAACCCTCTAGAACTATTTTGATTGCATGTGAAGTCCACCAAATGAGTATTGTTTGTTTATTTTTATAAATTTTAGGCTTTGTTTGTTTTTAGAAAAATTATTTTATTTTAAAAAGTGAATTTAAAAAAAATAAATTTTTAAAAAGTAAATTATTTTTCAATGTTTAGTAGTATTATGAAAAATAAACTGAAAAATACTTTCCAGTATTTGGTTATGTTATGGGAAATAAACTGAAAAATAATTTATTAATATTTTATTTTTTTCAAGTTTATTAAAATAATGATAAACAAATTTTACAAATTAAAAAGTTGAATAAAAATAAAATTGAATAAAAATATAATTTCATAAATTATCTCAAATAAAATTAATAATAATCAAAATAATAAAGATCAAATCTAAAAAAAAGATAAATAAATTAAAATAATAATAATTAACATTTCATAAAGTATTTCAAATAAAATAAATAACAATCAAAAGAATAAAAATCAAATTTAATAGATAAAAAAATTCAGTAAAAAAATAATAGGAGAAAAAAATAACAACTATAAAAATAAGAATCAAAGTTAATATAAATATTAAATTTTAAAAAATAAAATTAAAAAATAAATATTCAAAACAATATATCAATCAAAAGTTTAAGAATCAAATTTAATATAATCAGTAAATAATGATATTTTTAAATTTTTCACAATTTTCGGAAAGTGTTTTCCACTCAAATTTTTTAGGAAAACACTTTCTTGGAAACCAAGTTAAATTTTTCTTTGTCTGAAAAATGTTTTTCGTTGACCAACTTTATTAACAATAAACAAATATATGAAAGTTTGAAAAGTGATTTTCCGGAAACCACTTTCTGGAAAACAAGCACAACCAAAAAGAAAAATATTTTTCTGAAAACCAAACTAAATTTTTCTTTGACTGAAAAATATTTTTGTTGACTGAAAAGTGTTTTTCGTTGATCAACTTTTTTAATGGTAAACAAATATGAAAAAGTTTGGAAAATAATTTTCTTGAAACTACTTTTCGAGAAACATACATGGCCTTATATTGGATTAGAAGGTATTGTTTGTTTATTTTTATGATTTTTAAAATAAAATATTAATGTTAGGGATATTTTTATTTGTATACTTGTAAGTGTATAAGAAATCTTTCAATGATTTATTATATTTTTATTTAATTAAATGTTATGTAGAAAATATTTTTTATTTATTAATGTTATCAGGAGAAAATGACTTTCTAACTTTTCAACTTTATCAAAATAATAAAGTTTAGGGGTTATAAATATATTTAAAAATATCCAGGTAAAAAAAAATCATAAATTCTATTATTTAGAGATCTATAAATTTAAATCCTAAAGTATTTATCATACCAAAATAAAAATAAACACTTTTATTTTTTAAATTTATTATAATTTAAAAAATTATTTTATAACTGTGTTAAATAATTTACCATCAATTATTCATCTCATAAACCATATATAAAGTAAGAAATATACACATGAATACATGATTATTCATTATTCTAACACTAAGAAAACCTCATTTCTAAGTGTACTGTTTTTGGAACATGACTAATGTGCAAAATACACATCTTAAGGATACATTTATAATTCAATCATACAAATTTATCTTGTTGGATCTATTTAATATTTCTTTTCAATGACGTCAGTCATTCATAAAGAATAAAATAAAAAGATGTTATCTGTTCATCAACATGTTCATTGCCAATTTGCTGAAAACACAGATCTGTTCATTTTTTTGTTGCTTTGTTTAGAGAAATACAGTAATCCAGCAGCACCTCGCCCAGCACGGCCTGCCAGCAGCCACCGTGTTCGAGACGAGTTCAACGACTTGTGCATCGTACCTTGTCCAGCACCTTTAGTGTACCTTGTATATCCACCAGGAACAGCACCGTGTCGCCGTAGTATGTATCAGTCCTCTGTGATGAGCAAACCGAAGCCGTGTGTTGTCTGATAGGCGTAAAGCTACTACTTTTCTTGTGTTGTGTCCTTATCAAAAAGGCTGGGTGCACGCAATTTCCTGGAAGCATCCATGTAGAAATGGTTCCAGTTACATGTGCATTTTCTGATGTACTGCTTTATTATAGCATGCTCATAGTACAGAAAGAAGGCAAACCATTAATTCATGCATTTAATTTGTTGCCATGCATGGCTGAAGGGTCTCTCTCCAGTTGTTTGACTGTGCAAGGCATTCTAGCAAATGAAGGAATCATTATCCTTTCAGTGAAATCGCCGTTGGCGTCGAGCCCTTTTGTGAAACATGCAAGGACCAAAAAGGACCTAGCTCTATTTCGAAATATGTTGAACAGGAAAGCAAATTCTTGCTTGTGCTTTCCTTCTGTTGAAGGAAAAAGGAAAGAAAAATCTTCTGCTTTCAAAAAGTTGATGAAAGTTTTTAACTGGGGTGCCATCTTAAGAACAATAATGAAAAAGATTTATGAAAAAATTGCAAATTTAAGGAATGAAATCATTTTTCTTTTAAAAAAAACTTGAAGACAAAATTTATACACACAGTGCTGTAAATTAAAAAAAAACTTACAAAATTTATACACACAGTGCTGTAAATTTGACAAACACAGTAACAAACAGTCGACGAGTTAAGAAATTTTATGCATCTTCGTAAACCTAGACCACCTACAATGCATCTAGCTAATTTGCATGCTTAGAGTTAGAGAAATATGCTCCAAGGATTAACTCAATAAATTAAACATCGACTTCTTTGAATATACTGGAAATTAACGAGTGATCGCTAAGCACAGGGATCTACGAACGAACAAGCTTGGGGTGCCAAGCTCCCCCCCAAAGCTTGCTGTATGTCCGTCACTGGCCAAATACGAAAGGATCAGTTTTCCAATTGGAAGGGCCATTTTTTCTCCTTTTTGCCTTTGTTTTTCACGAAAAGGCACAAAACCACATGATACTTGACCTACCATTCATCATCTTTTTCAGCAGATCTACAACTTTTTCATCAACTTTTCAAAACCCCTCCACCAAATTTTTTTTAACAGAGATGATCAAGAGTGTGAGCAAGAAACAGAGAAAGAAAGAGACAAAGAAAAGGTGTCGTGCTTAGTCCCCATAAGTGGTACTCGCCATCTCACGTCAATTTCATCTTCCAATTCATATGGGCCATTTTGTGTTTAGTTTTTCTACATGGAAATACTTGGCAGTAGGAAACAGGCTGGTGGTGGACGAGGAGGTGCTTCTCCCTTTTTCTTGATGGATCCAACTCATACATACATGGCACATCGTAACTTAATGATCACCCTTGCAGACCATAGATGTAAGCTTCTTTTGGTTTCGTATTATGACAAGTCAATTCTTGTCCTTTTCTTTTAAACATAGACAAAAAAATATAAATAATCGTGTACTGACAATTCAATACACTTGGCTTTATCCCCCAACCCATAGGATTGATTTGGTGATAAAAAAACAAAAATGGGTTGTCAATTTTTAAATTCAAATATTTGAAATAGCATCTAATTTTTTCTTTTATTAAATTATAAAGACTCTAAACGTTGTGGTATAAACATTATGTAAATATGCAATGTTTCCCTTTTTATATTTTAATATGAACTTACTTTTCAAATTTTTTATTTTTGTTATATTAGCCCTCATCTCACTTGATTTTTTTTTTTAAATAAGTCTATTGCCCGAATTTATCCTTAAACTGGATCTCTTTCTATTTTTTAAATTTTATTTTTTATAAAAAAATAAAACCCTCATGTACAATGGCAAAGGCGGGGTGGGTAGGGCCCCAGCCCTACCAGGAAATTTTTCTTAGCTTTTTTCTTGTACAAAATAATTAAAATTTTAATTTTTTAAAATATTTTTTTCAATTTAGCTTCTTTTAATGTTTTTTTTTGCTCCACCCATGCTTATGCAGGTTCAATATTGCAAATACATGCATAATTAATTTTTTTATTAAAAAAATATTTTGCTTGCAAGTAAAACAACAAAACAAAAGTCAAATAACTAGTTTATTTTTAAATGCACTAGGTAGATATAAAAAGCATGTTCTTAAGCATATACAAGCTGATTCAAAAATAAACTTTTACTAGCAATTGATTATTCATATCTTATATCTATTATTAAAAAACTATTTATTATTCAACGGAAAAGACACTAGAGAGAATTCAGAACCCATATATATATATATATATATATATATATGGAGTATTTACAATAAATTAATATAAAATCATTATTCACCTTCCAAATCATCAATTATTAACATATGGGATAGGAAGATATAGTAATTCTAAAAAGTCATATTGATTGTGCAGTTGTGTCTTTGAATTTCATCCTCCTTGTATTATGGTAAGGAAAAGGGTGCACAATTTACCGCATAGACTAAGTTTTACCCGATCCCTGCTCCCTAGCATAACCTGAACCCCCCCAAATTAATTAATGACATTAATGCCACTGTGTGATAAAATTAAATTAAAAGTGCCACGTCAAAATTAACCCCCCAAGAGAATGTGATTATATCAACCTTTCGATCTTTCATGAATGGCTAATGCCAGCCGATGATTCAACAAAAAGATCACCTTAATTAATTAATTAATTAATGTCAGACACGTGGAAGTGTCCAAGACGCAAACACAAGACATCGCACCACGTGTCGAGGCATCTGGGGTACGTTAATCACAGCCACTTACTACTGCTGAGGTGTCAGCGATCCTGATTCTGCAGTACACACGTTGCAAGTGAATGACGGCTAGTTAAGCTTTGTTGTTAACTGCCAAAAATGCTCTCTGATTGCCTTTCTGTGCCCCTCACCGGGTGACGTCCCTGTCACGTGGCTTGCCCTCTGT